GGGGAGAGTTGGGGAAGTGCTGTGGGACCCCCAAAACACCTCGAGGAGCTCCTCCTAGCACCTACCATGCTGAACAGAGGCCAGCGGCCTCAAGACTGCTGTGACACGCAGTTCACAGCTGTCCTTCATTCCCCTCTGCGTATTCTACCCCTTATACAGCATGCAATGCTAGAACTCCCGCAGGAAAGCATCCTTCCAGCCTGGAGGAAAACTGTCCCCCACAGGCTTCTTGGTACAGAACTGCACCGCCTTTGGGAGGCCTTCTGCCACTCTCCACGGGGAGCTCGATCCCTGCCCTGCTCCTTACACATGGGCTTCAGCTGTCCCAACAGCTCCTCCCGGGACCACTTCAGCCACTCTCGCCGATCGCTGCTGATGGAACAAAAGATGGGGCTGCAGCCCTTTCCGCAGTCCTCCAGGGCCGGGACGTTCAGGTAGTGCACAAGGACGATGTCAGGGTTCTGAGAGCACAAAGGCACACAGAGAGCCATGGGGTCTTGAGATCCCAAGGAGCAGCCTCCTGGCCCTTGCCTTCTTCCTGAGCAGCCCCCCTTCAACTCACCCCCCATTTTCTCATTCCATCTCCAACCCCCTCACCTTTCTTCCCACTTAGAATCTATTTATCCTTCCACTTTGTCCTTTCAATCCACATGTCCCTGAAAGAGCCAGGAAGAATCTGACTCCGGGAGCTCTTCCGTCCTTACCTGGAGCAGCCAGTAGCAGCGCCGATGGAATGTGGGGACGATGGAAGAGTGAACGTAGCAGCCATAGAGACACTGCCAGGAGACAGGCTGGGGTGGGGGGAGGGCTAGTCTGCTCCCCAAGTCTTCCTCTGTTCAGTCCCTTTGCAGGAATCCCAATCTTTCCACCAGTTCATCTTCAACCCGCTTCTCACCCCAACCTCCTCCCCACCCCTTTCAAATTCCAGCAGTCCCAAGTCATGATAAGGGACTGAGAGAAGGGAAGGGTGGGACTGGGGCTGTATAATGAGGGCCACGTTAAAGCTACAGGACTATCTAGAAATTCAAGGGCAGAGCAAGAATGCATCTGAGAAGGAATGATTTGGGAAGAAAAACCTGTTTTTAGAGCATCACTGTTTAGAACCCAGTGAGAAATGCAAGATAGGCAAGGGGACTGGGCATCAGTGTCCTAGGCCTGGAAAGGTGGGTCATGGGAAGCAAAGTGGGCTCAGTGATCAGTCAGCTGATCCAAAGTGAGCAAGACAGAAGAGTGACTGGAAGCGGGGGAGGCAGGGCTGGAGCCCAGCTCTGGGTGGAGGAGGTGGGACGAGGGCAGGTGACTGGATGCCTGATCCTCTCTCACCTCCATGCCCTGGACCTTCAGCTTCATGTGGTCCTCTCGGGTGGTCTTCCCATCTTTTCGCTTCTTCCAGAGGTAGCCATCCTTCCGGTATTTCACCTTCTTGCGGTTGTAGAGGATGATGGAGCCATTCTGAGGCCTAGGAAGGGAAGGGCTGGCCTCGAGTTCTGTGACTAGAACTCAGGACACCTGCTAGTCCCCACCTCTGAGAACTTTCTCACCTTGTCTTTGGGGCACAAGACAGCCACTCATCATGCTTCTCAAAGGTGATCAGGTAGGATGCAATCTCCTGTAGGAAACAAGGCACTCAGATAGGTATCCCCTTCATAAAGTCTCAGACTGGCCTCTTGGTCATCACCTCAACTTCTCACTCTCTGGGCATTGTCGAGTTAGGAGAGGATGCTTCCAGGTATCTGGGTCCAACAAGGGCCCACTGCTTTTGTTTTGTTTTGTTTGAGACATGGTCCTGCTGTGTAGGTCAGGCTGGCCTTGAACTATGTAGCCAAGGGTGGCCTTGAACTCTCAGTGATCCTCCTGCCTCAGCCTCCTAAGTGCTGCGATTATAGGAATGCACCACCACACCTGGCCCCACTTCCCTTTTAAGAATTTCAGGTTCCATCACAGACAAAATCTAATCTGTTCTCTTTCTGTCTCTCCCAACTGGAGCCTATGTCTGAGTCAGTCAATTCATCATCCATTCTTCCTTTCATGTATGACTGTACTCTTTCCAAATCCCACTTGATACTCCTTCTTGAGAAAAGACCCTCAATGGCTTAACCAAGAACTCAAGAATCTTTAGCTTGATTCCAAGGTATCAAACCATCACTCCCACTGTTCATCATATTCCACCCACCATTCCTGCCAGATGGGTCCACTGATTCCTCCCTGAATATGCCTTGAACAGATACTCTCTGCATGTTAGTACCTAAAAGCCTGAAGCGCCATGCATTATGCCCCCGTGTCTGAAAATGCCAGTCATCCTATAGGCTTCCCAGATGGTCCATGAAGTCCTTCTGTCACCCTGGCCCTTCCTAAAGGCTCCATAGTATGTGCAACAATCACATGTGCACACAGACCCATTTACTGATAGTTCTAACGTCAAAGCAATGACTGTCAACCCCCAACTACATAAAAGGCACGAAGTATGCAGGATACTGAAGGCGTATAACGTAAGGACTGTACCCTTCTGGAGCAGCCAGTCTCAGTGGTGGTTAAAAGCAGGGGCTTCAGTGGGTCAGATAAACTCCAAGAGGTAAATCAGTTTTCTTATCAGTTACATGGGTGTAATAATATGAACCAATAAAGGTCCAGTGCTTGGCATAGTGCCCAGCATGTAAGAAATAGGTGATAGCTGTTGTTTTACCCAAGTGGATATGCCAAAAGGTGAGCTCCTACAAGATCCACGTGTTTATACTTTGCCTCTGAGCCCGGAAGAGCCTGCAACAGTGCTCTAAGGAGTGTACATAGAAAAGACTCATCCTCCTCCAGCCCACTAGGCCTTGCTGGGCCCTAACCCCCAGGCTCCCTAGAAAACCTCATTTGTATTCCACCGGAGTCGCTCTGGAGGCAGCAGTGGGCACCGAGGAAGACACTCCAGCAGCTTCTTGGGGAGGAAGATCTTCAGGTGGTGGCTGTTCTCTGGAGGAAGCCAGAAGGGAAGGCTTAGTGTGCTGCTCTGGCAGCCCCGTGAGAGGCAGCCCAGGGAAAAAAGGGGGAAACTGCCGCCAGCACAAGGGAGCAGAGAATCCAAGGATCAAACAGCCACCGTTCACGAGAACATGAAGGCTCTGTCCAAACTGGGAATCTGCTCTGTGAACTCACCAGCAACCTCAGTGGTGTCCTTGGTATTCATGGTGAGGGCTCCAGGGGGTCAAGGTCACCCCCGGCCTGAGGGGCCGGGGGGAGGGGGAGTCCGTGCTGGAAAAAAGAGAATGAGGTCATGGCAGAAGCCCCCACTGTAATCCAGAATGAGGAACATAAGGTGGGGGGAGGGATGCAGAACAGGATCTCGCATCCGGGAAAGGTGAGGGAGGAAGAGGAAGGGGTAGAGTCTGATGTGCCAGGAGAACCAGGGAATGGAGATGACGGAGAACCCAGACATGGCCCAGGTACGAACATGAGAGGGGGCACAGGACGCCACAGAAGGGACTGACCAGGAAAAAAGTGGGTGGGGGAGGGGAGACGGCTGTCACGGCTGGGGCCGCGGAGGCCCTATAGCTTGGGCCCCTGCAGCAGCCGGGGTTTTGGTGGGGTCAGGCGCCAGCGGCTGGGACTCAAGGCATCCACTCCTTGGAGGACGGTTTGACAAGAAAGTTTGGATGCTGGGGCAGGGCAGGAAGTCCAGGTCAGGGTGGAGAGTGAGGCCTCGGAAGACACACCCTGAGTTCCTTCTCTATTTGATTTTTCCAAAGGGAAGGGCAGATCTGATAACTGACCTCCCCTATTCTCTGTCCTCCAGGTTGGACAGGGCCTGGTAGAAACTGGGCTAAACACAGCTGCTCACGCTTCTCTCCGTGGGGAGCGTGCTCACCACCCACCAGCACCTATCTCCCCAAGTCCCTCTGCCTCCCCTGGCCAGCAGGCCTACCCCGGCCCCAGCCTCGCAGGGGGAGCAGATGGGAGCGGGAGGAGCCGCTCAGCGCGGGCTCCACCAGGTGTCAGGGATGAAGAGGGGAGGAGGCCCGGTCCTGCTCGCCGGGCTGGGGTAAGGACTCCGCCCCAGCGTGCAGGTGCGCAGCCCGGGCTAGGCAGCCTGCCAGGGTGCAGAACCGAGTGGGATCTGGGCTGGGGGCCCGGGGGCGGCGCGGGACTCGGACGCCAGGCGCTGGGGCGGCCCCCCGTGACAGGGCGGGGGTCCAGGGAGAAGCGCCGAGGTGGGAGGGTCCCTCCTGCACACGGGGATGTTCTGGGGAGGCCTCAAGCAGAGTCCCCTCCGGCGTGGGCGCCGGGCGCGGGGGTCTCGGGGCCAGTTCCCGGCACGCGCAGCCCTCGGTGGGGCCCTGCGCCGAGCGGCGCCCCCTGGCGCGGGGGAGGAGGACGGAAGCGGGGAGGGGGAAGCGGGAGAAGGGACGGGGTCCTGGGCGCCGCGCTCCACGGCCGGACCGCGCGGAGCTGCGCCCCCTGGCGCGGGGGCGGAGAGGCGGGCGAGCGGCCCTGGCGCTTACCTCCCGGGGTCCCGCGGGTGACGGCGGCAGCGGCCATTCTACCCCACACCGACCCCCCCCAGCGCCGGCTGACAGCGGCGTCCGACGTCACTGCGCACGGGGCGGGGCCTCCCAGTTAAGGGGATGGGGGTCGGGAGGCAGCCGGGGCCCGCGCACGTGGGGCTGGGGCAGGCCCCGCGCGGAGGAACTCGCTCCCGGGCCCCGGGGCCAGGCCGCGGGACAGCACGCTTGGAAGCCCCTAAGGGGACGGTGCTGCTGGGAGCCCGGCGCGGAGGCGGAAGCGCCGCCGACCCCAGTGACTCCAGGTCTGGGAGGATGGAGGGGGGCGACAGCTCCGGCTTGGAACCCAGAGGCAGCGAGCTACTCGACGCGTCTCCCCTCTGCCGTGGCTCCTTGAATTGGGGGACCGAGTCTGACTTCTCTGCAGCTGGGTCCCCCATGAAGTGACAGGAGTCCTTGCCCCTTCCTGATGAGCCGCTGCATCACCGATTCCAAGAAAGAAAGACAACTCCAGGCTCTACTTGCTTGCTCTTTAATAACAAAACACAGAAAAGAACAAGGCCAGAAGCGGGCCTATGGAAAAGCGGGCTTGGGAGTTCCTGTGAGAGGGGCGACAGGGACGGGAGCCAAGGGCGCTGAGTGCCTGGTGTGGGGAGTGGGAACAGCAGTTCCAGGCAAAGGAACAGGAACCTCTTTGATGCTAACAGTGGGATGGTTCTGGTGCTGGAACAGGTTTGGGGCCCTTAAAACAGCGCGGGTGTCTTGGGATGGTCTTTTCCTAACTCCTCAGACTCCAACTCCATGGGCTGGGGACTGTAAACAGGGTTCCTCCTGGCTGTGACAGTGCTGTAGACCAGAGAGCTCAGCTGCCTGGAGGTGCAAGCCCCCTCCTGGCCGAGGGGACTCCAGGGAGACCACAGCAACTGTATTTGAGGAAAAAAATAAATAAAAAGTGAAGGGATGGAAAAATACAGCTCTCTCCAGATGTCCTAATTCAGGCACCCTTTCCCCTAAGTTGCTGGCTCTCACCTACTTTTTATGCAGCTATGCAACCTGGCTTTTGGCTGCTGCTGTCTCCCTGTGCAAGACGAGGGATCTCCATCACCACCACCCTACAAAAGTGCTCTCCAGCCATACCTGGGCCCTACCACGAGTGATGAAATGGCCCTCTTCCTGTGGATCGGTTACTTCCTCCTTTTCCAGATCAGGGTATTCACTTGTCTTGAGGAATCCACAGGCCTCTTCGTGAACCTCCAGTGGCTCAGCTGCAGCCTCAGAGGTGCCCCACTGGGCCTTCTTTAGTCTGTGGAGACTTTAGGCTTAGGAGAAAGGTGCCTCGAGGCCCAGGCTTTCTGTCTCTTTATTCCTCATCTTTCTGTTTTCAGGTATTTCCTGCTGGGCCCCTAGGATGTTGCCATGTGATGTTCACTTTACCAGTCCCAATTTTCTGTTCCCCCCAGACTGAAGTACTTTCAGTCTAGGGACCCAGAGGTGACCCCTAGCTCCCCTAGTTCTATGGTACACTTTCCTGTGTTACTGACCCAGTTCCAACTCCTTGCTCATGTGGCTCATTTCCCACCTGTTGTTTCTTTTTTGTTTTTGTTTTATTTTGTTTTTGTTTTTTGTTTTTCTTCCGGTACCAGGAATCCAACTCATGACCTTGCGCTTGCCAGGCAGGCGCTCTGCCCCTGAACTAAATCCCCAGCTCCTCCCACCTGTTGTTCTTACCACATTGTAGAAATCCTGTTTCATTTGTACCAAGCCTATGCTTCCTTTCCAAATAATCTCCAATTCTCTCAAAATTGTCAGTCCTTTGCTTAGCTCAAGCCATCCTGTCCCAACCCTCCTGGGCTCCCAAAGCCCAGATAGACCCCTCCTTACTCATTGATGGTTCTCTGGCGCCTCCTGAGGTCCTCCAGGTGATAAGCAACAGCCCTCACCCGGGCTGGGATGCCCCCAGGTCCTTGCTGCATTCCTTCGGATCTAGGCTTCCTTCTCTTTCTTCGGCAAAGCATCTCAGGGGGTGGGAGCCCCTCAGGAGGATAAAGGCTAGGCTGGGAGTAACCAGTAGCTCTCTGCGCCAGAAAATGAGGAAAAGGAGCTAGAAGGTCTATCAGGGAAGCGTGGGTTGAACTTAGGAGCCAGGAATCTTGGGGAGCCCAGATATGAAATGGAAAACATGGTGCCCGAGACACAGGAAGGAGGGCCTGGTCAGTGCACTGGTTGAGAAACACCAGAAAGAAGGGATAAAAAGGACAGCAGGGACACGGAGGTACTAGGTACAATTTTAGCACAAAAGTGTTGAAAGGTATAGTGTGTCATACCAGCATGGGTGGGATGTAGCGTTCCTCCATCCAGATAGGGCTGTGAAACACAAAAAAGGGGCCAACGTCAGAGAATAACCCATACATACTGTTTCTCTGATGACCTCACCCGACAATGTGTCCGGTGTTAGGAGCTATGGCGTCCATCAGCTAGTGGGAAATTATCATCTGATTAGGGCTTGCTTCCATAAGGACTTACGGTAGGTAAAAGCTGTATACCCTCATCACCCTAATTCTAGTTAGTCTCCATTTTCTCTTTTTCTACTCACCTGGACTTTTGGGTAAGATTCTCCCAGAATATATCTCCATAATCCTTAGGTGTCGGTCTGAGGCTGTGAGAAGGCAGGCTAGCAGGTGGACATCGACTGACCACTCTAGAACACCTGAGGTGAGGACAAGGTAGGCTTTCGTCTGGCTGTTCTATTATAGCATCTACTCACCTTTGGGATTCAGGGGCCCATCCTTCTGTAGGGCCATACGGCTGCTTAGGTTCCCTCAAGACATGACCTCTCTGTCCACTTTAGCCAAGACAAATGGTGAGCTGAGATTGGAGCTGGGGTCAAGGTGGAGATGGGCTATTGTTGGAGTCTGAGATCCCAAAAATCTCAAATTTCTAGGCTCAGACATATTTTATTTATTTTGGGAACAGGGTCTCTCTCACTGTATAGTTCAGGCTGGCCTTGAACTCACTATGTAGCCCAGGCCGGCTTCAAACTCACCATGACCCTTCTGCCTCAGCCTCCCCAGTGCTAGGACTACAAGTATGCACCACCACACCTAACAGTCTTAAACTTCTATACCTCATAGCCAGTGAACATAATATTTAACAAGCAGGATTGTTAAAAGGGAAGGCCCTGGTTATTCAGGCAATTTGAGGGTTCCTTTAGGTCAATGCAAAGAGCCAGGAGAGACAACCTTTGTCTCTTCTATCTCAAGGGTTAATATATTTACAGATGATGTGTACAGAGCTATTTGAGAACAGTGCTTACCATTTCCAAAGCTCCCACAGTGAATGACTGCCCTCCTGATCTCTAAGAAGCAGAGTGTCCTGGGACTTAGGCTAGGGGCTCTTTATGCTCTCTATCTCTCTCCTTAGTTGATCTGATTCAGTATCATAATTTTTAACACTGCTGTTTTAGTTTTCTTGTTGCTGAGACAAAATACCTGACACCTGAAATTAAAGGAAGAGGTTTATTTTGGTTCACAGTTTGTAGAGGTTTATTTTGGCTTATAGTTTGTAGAGGTTTCTTTTCATAGTTGGCTGGCTCCCAGGCAGGGTGGCATGGCAGAAGGGCATCACAGAACAGAAACAGTTGATGGTGGGCAGAAGGCAGCAAAGTAGCAAGCAGCAAGTGACAAGCAGCAATTATAGCAGCCCTCCTTCTGTGCCTTATACTCTATTCAGGTTACCTGCCCTTAGGGCAGCTACCACTCACACCCAGGGGCAGGGTACCCTTAATCCTAGCATTGCACTATGAATTAACCCTAGCATCATATCCTTAATCCTGGCATCACACACTCCAGATCCAGCCATCTCTGTAAAGTCCCACCTGTGACTGCATGAAGCTTTTGGGGGCATCTAGATATAAGCCATAACAATTGTCAACACACTGATGACTCCCAAATCTGTTCTTCCAGTCTGTCCTGGTTCCTCCCAGAGATCCACTCAACACCCACCCCGAACCTTCCCCATCTTGCTGAAAGACACCCCAAATGCCCAGCCACTAGGCCCAGAAGCCCCAAAGGCCTGGTTTGCCTCCCTTTTCCTTGATTCCCAATCCAATCCATCACAGGTCCTGTAAATTCTACATCTGAAATATACTTGAGTTTGACCACGCCTTATTCACCACTTCATTCCCATCACTGCATTCTAGGTCATCTCCTTCCTAGACTATTGGAAATGGCCTCTCCTCCTCCTCTTCCTGCTCCCCTTTTCATCTACCTGCAATCTATTCTTCATAGAGCAGTGACAGTAATCTTTTCAAAAATAGGATTATGTGAAGAAATACAAGGTTTGAGAGATACTTCAACATAATTGGGGAAGTAGGGGGCTTGATGAGTGTAGACATGAAAAGATTATCCATATAATGGTAATTACTGAAAATGAAATGAACACATTCAGGTTTTTGTTTGTTTGTTTGTTTTGAGACAGGGTCTTGCTATGTACACCAGACTGGCCTCAAACTCATGGCAATCCTGCCTCAGCCTCCCAAATGCTGGGATTACAGGTGTGTACCACTATGCCCAGTGCACATCGTCCTTGATACTATTTACTTCTATATTTGTTGGAAGTTTTCCATCATAAAATACAACTTGAAGGAAAAAAGTCTGTCACTCCTTTACTTACTTCCACTGATTTTCACTGTCTTTAGAGTAAAATCCAAACTACTACATTTAGCTACTTTTTGAATTGCTCTTGAACATCACCACCAAAGAGTTTTATGTTGTTATGCACTGAATAATGTCTTTATTTAGTACAGAAAATATAAATTTGGTTTCTTGTGATCATGATCTAGACAGTGATTCTTACCACACAAGAAGTTTGGTCTGCAAGTCCCCCCAAAATTGGAAATCTGATCTATTTTGTATAGAAATGAAAATGGAATGTGGAGTTGACATGGTAGAAATGAAAATAATTGGATGTTAGAAATCTGAATGTACTCATCTAAAAACAGGTGGATTTCATCGTACTAGGTCGTCACTGCGATATGATGTCTAAAATTAAAGTCACTAACATAGGCTATGTGTGGTGGTGCTTGCCTATAATCCTAGCACTCAGGAGGCTAAGGCAGGAGGATCACTTTGAGTTTGAGGCCATCTTGGGATACATACTGAGCTCAAGGCCAATCTGAACTACATAGCAAGACCCTGTGTAAAACATAAAAGCCAATAATACATATAAAAATAGAATAAAATCTAAACTCTCCTCTATAAGCTATTAAGCCTCTATGTAATCTGGCCTCTATGTAATTTTCTGAGTTTACTCTCAATTTTCCTCTTGACTACTAAATTTCAGCTACATTGGCCTGCTTCCTGTTCCTAGAACATACTAAATTATTTCTTCCATTAGACTAGCTCCTTCTAACTTTTCAGATTACAGTTCAAATTCACCTTCCAGAATAGTTTTCCACAATCGCTCTATTTAACATTGTATCCCCCTAAACCCACTATTTTCCCTTATACTTACTTTTATTTTTTCATAGTACTCATCACTAATTGAAATTATATTTATTTATACATTGTTTTCTCTCTGAATATAAGCCGTATAAGAGCAGAACCCTTATCTAATTGCTGAATTTCCAGTGCCTAACACAGGGCATAGGCATGCAATCTTCCCTCCACCCAGTAGGAAGTACTCACTTGGCAAAGGGGATGAGGTTGTCTTCATCTTCCTGTACTTGCATGACTGGACTGGGCTGGGTACCTGGACTGGGTGTTCTTCTTGGTGCTAGGGGGATAATGGAAAATGAATCATTCACTTAAGTAATGACTGTAGGGATGAGACCAGCAACAGATGTAGAGACTTGAAAGATTACATGTATATCCTGAAAAAAAAAAGGTTTGAAAGGTATCTCTAGGGCTGAGGGTATAGCTCAGTGGTAAAGTGCTTGGTTAGAATGTGCAAAGCCCATGGGTTTATTCCCCCATACTACAAAAAAAAAGTATTTTTAGTATTGGACTAGTTTTTAGAAAGGGTCTCATGTAGTTCAGGCTGGCCTTGAGGGGTTTCTTGTTTTTTTTTTTTTTTTGGAGGCGATACCAGGAATTGAACTTAGAACCTTGTGCTTGCCAGGCAGGTGCTTGTGCCGCTGAGCTATATTCCTAGCCCGTGGCCTTGAATTTAAGGTGATCCTCCTGCCTCAGCCTCCCCAGGGCTGGAATTATAGGAGTATGCCACCATCCCCAGCTAGTGTTGTACTATTAACTGAATATAAATGTCTAATATGGCCAAGATGGTAACCACTGGAAAAGTGGGTGTAGTAAAACGTAACTGAGAAAGCCAATTTTCTGAGGATAAATACATACAGTAAGTGAAATTTACAGATCTCAGTTAAGGGATTTAAGGACATGGGATGGTGAAATGAAGAAGAATGATAGGTGGAGACTAGGCAGGGCAGAGACATTTGGAGGTAATTGGCCCAGAACTGGAATAGTTAGAGGTGGCAGAATTGAAGGTTGGCAAATTAATCAAGTATAAGTAGTAAAAGTAGAGTAGACAGAGTGGTCAACTGGTGACAAGGAAAGAGAGGGTGGCTAAGGATGTCTCTAATATTGTGAGCAGAGCCAGATGTGGTGGCAAATGCAGGAGGCTGATGCAAGAGGACTGGAAGTTTGAGGCCAGCCTGAACCATGAAGTGAGACCCTGTTTTTTTTTTTTGAGACAGGGTCTTACTATATGCATTCAGGCTGTCCTGGACTCACTATGTAGCCCAGGCTGGCCTCAAGCTTGTGGCCATCCTTCTGCCTGAGCCTCCCAAGTGCTGGGATTACAGGGATGTGCCACCACGCTCAGCGCTCTGCGGGCAGATCCTGTTTAAAAAAAAAAAAGCAGACAGGTATCTCGGGCAGCCAAAGATGACTGGAGAGCTAGTTAGGGTGGGTAGAAAAAGGAATTAAGAATACCAGTTGAAAGCTGGTTGGCTGGGCGTGTGGCTTAGTGGTGTAACACTTGTCTAGCATGAGAGAGGCCCTGGTTCAATCCCCAGCACGGTAAAACAAACAAACAAAGCAGAAAACAAAGAGAATACTGGAAAAGTTAGGACAGCGCTTGCAGACAGCACAAAAGACAAGACGTGTTAACTGGAAACTGTTAAAGGTCAACGAGTATTTATCCAAGGGTCTCTAGATGTGGGCTGGGCAGAGTTACACGAGGAAAACGGAGAGCGGAACGCGCAGGGCTGAGGTGGGCGACGGGGCCACGTGGGGTCTACAGGGCGGGCTGGATGCAGACGGCGGACCAGGGCCGGCGGAACTGGGGCAGCCGGGAGCGGGGCATCCAGACCTCGGCCGGCCGGGCCTCGGCACCGTGGGGCGTAAACCCAGGGGCAGGGCAGCGCCGAAGGGCGCCCCACAGGACCCGCTTTGGGTAACCCGGGGGTGCCAAGGCCTCGGAGGGCCCGAGGGGCGGGCTGGGCTGAGGAGCGGGGGAGCCCCGCGGGGTCGGGGGGGGGACCAGCCCGGCGGGGGCGGCCCGGGCGCACGATCCTCGGCAGGTGGGCTGGAGGGCAGCCAGGCCAGGGCCGGCGGCGGCGGCTACGAGGAGTTCTGCGCG